TTGTTGATAGTTTGCTTCCCAACAAGATTTGCATGTATTTCATTAAAATTGTTTGAATTTCATCTAGAAAACAAGCATCACAAAATCACAAATCTTTTAATTAATTCAAGCGCTATTTTGCATTTTAGATCTGTATTAAAAATTACAGACCCTATGACACCCAACATCAACTTCCTTTTCATTTACATTGTTTTTTAAAGAGATTCCACTTGCTAACTAATCAAAAGTGCAAATACAGGATCCAGGTAATCTTGGCACACTAATAAGGTCATCTATGGCATTCAAATGGGTAAGATCTATATATGTTATTGATGTATTCACAAGTTTCTTTTGTTTTTATTATAGCTAGTATTTTATTATTACGATATGACATTCAATATATTAGATATTGCACACCTTTTTTTTGATGTACAACTCATTATTTCAATGTTCCTGACATTGTGCTGGATGTGATTTTAAACAAAAAAAAAAAAGTTTTATTTAATTTAAGAAAAATAAAGGAGCCCCTGGGGTTTGTAAATTTTTTTTCTTGTTTTTCAGTGTGACATTTCCCTTTGTGGTGTTCCTATCTTATGTCGACGTCTGTGCTTGATAGAGAAATGATGTTGCTTCTTCTTTTTCTTCCTCTATCTTCTGATTTGGCTCAATACTTGTAGCGACTGATTTGGAAACTAGTTTTCTTGTATCCTTCTATAATTCTGCTATATATTTTTGTTGGGCGATGAACATATTTTACTTTGAATATAATTATACTTGGGAAGATTTACATTCATACCACTCGATTCCTATGTACTTACATATGTAGCACCTTAACGTTAATTTTTACATACATATCTTCTTATCTATTCATGAAAAGGTGTTCTTCACTTTTAAAAGTTAAATTGGTGGTATTTTTATGTGATATGAATAATTTTGCTGGTATAAATGTAACAAGCAAAGTTTAGAAGTTAGATAAATACATAGGAGTTGGGTGGTATGTATGATACTTTTGACTTTCATTTCTTATCATCTCTTTGACTTTGTCCATACCCTATTCTCTTCATTACCCATCATAATGACAAAAAAAGAGAATATTTACATATATACCACTCAATTCCTATGTATTTACACATCTAACACCTTTACATACATGCTACCTTACCTATGCATGAAAAGGTGTATTTCACATTATAAAAGTTAAAATGGTGGTATATTTGATATGATGTCAAACATTTGGGTTGTATAAATCTAAAAAAACAAAATATAGGTGTTAGATGCGTAAATACACAGGAATTAGGTGTTTTGTATGTAAACTTCCCAAAAAAAAAAAACTCTTTTTTACAGTTCTTTATTGGCGAGTACCTTTGGTCCCCAAAGAGATTTAGTCGTTCAAATCATTTGCAGGATGTCGTCTTTCTTCTACATGGCTGCTGTGATCCCTTCAACGAAAAGGCGCTCCGAGCAGCTCGAGGAGCTTCCTTTCAGATCCCCATTATTTATGGAAATTGGCTCCATCTAGAGACTCTTACTAGCAGATTCCAGATGAAGATACTGGCCGGGCATCCAGAGAACCATTGCGAAGAATCATCTAATCAAACTTCTCCTCTGTCATCTAAGTTCGCAGATTCTCTCTCTGATAGACCTCTCTGCCTTGTTTTAGGCAGTGAAGGACGCGGTCTCTCACATCAAGCGTTGAAGTCATGTGAACTTATTGGCATTCCAATGGCAGGTTTGTCTGAGTCTCTAAATGTTTCAGTTGCAGGTGGGATCTTCATGTATATGCTACAGCCTGAGAAATATAAGTAATTTGTTTTTAATATTATTTTTTTACTGTTGATGAAAATTACTTTCTATTATTTATTTTCTTCCAATTGATTAAATATCATTTTTTCTGTCTTAGCTGCATATTATATGTTTCTCAGTGCTTTTGTTAAAGCGATTAATTGCAGTAACTGATAGAGTTAAATACTGAAGCCATGGAATCCCTACTGAGGTTTGGTTATCTGCAGTCTTGCTCAAGTTGAAAAGCTAATTGTTGAAGGTAAATCTAATTTAGTCTACTTAAATTATGTTGTATGTTTTGGATGGAATGATAAGCTTTACTAGAATAACTATTTATGTAGCTGCAATTGCTTGTTTATTATGAATTTAGGGGCGTAAACGAGCCGGTGTGAGCCACTCACGTGTTTTTTTTGTGTGTGAGCCTTATTCGAAATTGATTCGTGTTTGGTTTGTCTTATGAATAGTATGCTTGCGTTCGGCTTGATTCAAATTTTCCAAAAAATAGCAACTTTACCACCACTTTTACAAATCCTACCTTGATCATTTTGCATTTTGATGATACTTCCTTGAGTGTTCTTTGGCCTTCATTTGTTTTAAGCTTTTTTATACTTGATTGCTTTTGCTCTTTTGTTGTTCTAAATCTGTGTTGATGAAGATTTTAGAATTGTAAATACATAAAAACTGAGTGGTATGTATGTAAATCTTTCTATTTATAATCATTACTATTGCATTATCCTATAACTCGTGAATTCTCATTAAATATTTACTTTATAAAGCTGCATAGTTCAATTTTTTTTAAATTTTCAGTTCTTTCTGCTGCTTCGTTGGTCTTCTTTTGTACCAGTTAATATTTTAATTCTTATGCAGCCCATTTATAGCGATTAATATACACTTGTATGAAATTCATTAGGCTTGTTAATGCATGTAGAAAAAGTATTAGATTGCTGTTAATGAATAACAAAGTTAAATGAGAGATGGATAGAGCTATGAACATGACTTGAGCACACAATTTGGTTTTTTTTTTCCTTATGCTTAAAAGTGATATTGATCAAATATTCGTTGAGGCGCATAACCAATTACATAACCAACAATTCATTAAGTTGAATTTGCAAAATTTTAAAGTTATATATTAATAATAGTATAAAATTGAAAAAAAATGATTATTCATGCATTTCTTTTCTAGGATTTTTTAAAATTTTGGTGTTTGATCGGAGGAAAAATAATCACAATGCAAAGCTACAATGCATTTTGAATTTATGCTTTAGTTAAATTTTAATGTATTAGAAATCATTAGATTTGGGTGAATTCTAAATGCACCGCTACCTGTAAATTGTTGAATGGTCGTTGTTACCCCTACTGGTTGCTGGTAGTTTGTCGGTCATTGCCACGCGGTGCCGTCTTTAGCGGCTGCCATCACTATCACTACTAATGGACATATTTCACATTGATTTTATCTTTCTTAACTAAATAAAAACAAAACATGAAGTGTTGAATTTATTTTACATTGAAGTGAACAAATTTGAATTATTCAAAATGCAATACATTACTTTTACATTGTTTGTCTTTTTCAACAAATGAAACAACCTTTTAATTAAACACAAGAACATAGTATTATGAATGTTAGGGCTGTCGGTTAGTTAACGTGTCGTGTTTGAATTTGACTCAAATTTAACTCTAGTAAATAACATTTGGCCCCAATCAAACCCTATGTAGCATAGGGGCTAACAATGTCTATCTATCTTGAATCCAACTTGATTGAAGCTAGATTGACTCGAAATGGCATGATTATTTAGTATATCATTCATTCAATTTTCTTTTGCCAATACATTCTAATCAACTCAAATTGTTCTGCTGCGATGTGAGTTGCAGATTAAGCAGAAATGATGTGATTCATATCAAAATTTTGTATGAGTTATATTACATCTAAAAATTATATTGGAGGATGTAGATTAATCAAGAAAAATGCATTTTGTATGAAAAGATTTGTTAATCATTTAAAAATGAAATGGGCTTCGAATCCATCATTAATCCTTATTGTTGAAGAGAAAAGGTCTGCATTAAAATAAGATTAAATTCCATTTTATTTATATGAGTTAAATATCATATTTTTGGCGTGTCTATGTATGCATGCTCTTAATCTTGATGCATCTATTTAAATGAAGTTGAGTTGAATTTTGATATTTTGTGTGGCTCTTTATTTGATTGGGGGTATGACATGAAAATACACTTACATTAATATATTAGAGAAGCTATACAATATAAAAAGGGGAATTGAGAGTTATAATCAAAGTGCCAAAATTTAGGGTCTGTTTGGGGCGGCTTTCTGTCTGCTTTGCATTTCAGACTGTCATAATAGTTTTATTTGAGAAACTGTTTTTTTACTGTTTTCTAAAAGTTTTTGGTAGGAAGTTATTTTTTTTTTCAGTCGGACTTGGTAAAATGCGGTGGCTATAAGAAAACTACTGTCTGAATTTTTTGAAAAAAAATATTTATAATGTTCACCGCAGTTTCCTAAGAAGTTTTATCCACCGTGGTTTTACAACCATCTTTTTAAAACGCTGCAACAACCCCAAACAGACACTTAAAGTTGATTAAAATGAAGAAGAGAAAAAAGCAAAGTGAAAACCACCAAGTTGGCTAAAAAAATTACATAACCAAAGGAACAAATGAGAATGTTATGAACTCCAACTAGGTTGAACATGAAACATCAATGCTCCTTTTCTATGAAGATTTGGTGAAAAACATTCATATTTACATGTATAACATTCAAATTTTTTATTATCACATAAAAAAAATATCATTATTATTAACTTTTAAAAGGTGAAATAAATATTTTCATACATAAATTTATAACATCAACGTGTCATAGATATAAATATCAGATTTTAGGCGTTAGATATGTAAATGTGAAGCATTTGTGCAATATATATATGTAAATTTCCTTCCAAGGGGAGTCATAGCCAAAAGAATCAGCTATGATGAAACTATCCATGTGGCAGAAAGAAGAGAAGAGGCAATAGAAAGCATCACCTGACAAGTCTATAAGAGCTCAAATATCATTCTTAAAAACATGGAGTATCTTTACATAATGAGGGAGCTCCTTTTTGAAGTGCAATTTTTGCTTTTAATTCCACTAACAAGAAGTTTTCTTGCTGATGATCTCCATAGAGAAAGATCATTAGAAAAAAAAAATCTAGAATTCATTTAAAACCATACAAAATGAGCAATAGTGAAGATAATTCCATATGGTAGCATGAACTAGTTGAAGTCTGTCGAGAAATGTGAGGACTTTTTGTTTCCATCCTCCTAGGTAAGTGTTCAATATATCTAGAATTCTATGGCAATTTATAGCTTTAAGTTTAGAAGGGACAAGGGTTCACAAACGCTATGTTTGAGATGCCTTTGAACTGTTTTAGATAAGCAAATAATAATTTTGGAAGTACTAACATGTTAATTGGAAGCATAATTGAACATTTAAAGCAAATAAATCTTACATCTAGTTGAAGCCATGGGGATTTTGCTGAATAAAAAGAGACCATCAAAATAAATAAGACGGTTAATAATATGATTACTAAGCCCATAGAAAGCACCTTAAAAATGAAGATTTGTAAGTCTAGAAAAGGCATCCATAATAATAGTAAAGAGATAAGACAATAAGGGGCAACCTTGTATAAGCCCAAAATTAGTATTAAAGTAACCATGGAATTCACTATTAATAATCTTAGAAAAATAGAATTGAGCAATGCAAAGCCTCTATCCACCCAATGAATTGGGTAAGAAAATCCAAAGCCGCCATTCTATAATAGTTAAAGTTTCAATAAACTATGTCAAAAAGCTTTTTGTAGATCCATCTTAGATTAGAAGGCTTTAGGGTAATTAATGCTATTAAAACGTTGAAGAAACTCATTAGCGAGCAAAAGATTATCAGCTATATCTCTCCCAAAAAATAAAAGAAGCTTGAGCATGATGCAATATGGAAGGAAGAAATTGCTTAAGTATGCCAACTATATGATTCAGGAGCCCTCACTTCCATAATAATCTACAACATTACGAAATATATGAGATCTTGTGATCTTGAGTGGAGTTCCTGAACGAGAATTGTTAATTTCCATAATCATGGAAAAGCTATAGTCCTCGGGACACCATCTCATTACCCATTTCAGCATTTTTTTTCTTTCTGATTTTCTGATTAGATTATTTTATATTAGGAATTTTTTAAATGTAGTTTTTTTGTTGTTTTGAGACCTTAGCTTGGATTTAATGTGAAAGTTGTAATATCTATTCTATGCTTTAAAATCATTATATCTTTTTCCTTTCGCAAGTGGCGTGTCAGTATCAAGCTCAAGAATAGGAGGTGGATCCCCCTCAACATCCACACCTCACCATTTCACTATCAACTTCCTATTTTTAGTCTGAACAACAACCGAATCTCTCAAATCTGCAGTCTAACTATAGATTTCTCCTCCTATCCCTGTCCAAACTCCATTAAAAGTTCACTCACTATTTTAAAACCCAACCCCCACTAAATTCCCTTCATAAATACCTTTTAGGATCTTGAGAATGGTATTATCTAGTATCAGAGACAATTTAACATTAATTTTTTAAGGATTTGTCATTCATACAATTAAATCAAGAATTCATACAACCTAAACTAAAAAAAAAAAAAACCCTCACATCTCCATCTAGCCCTAGCAATAACCCTAAACCTAAATAATATTTTCATTTTTTGTCAATACTTATATCGAAAGAAAAAGGTATCATGCCACTAAGGAGAAACCATCAATGGGATGCTAAGGAGGCCATTATGGAAGACATAGAGAGAGAAATCCTCCAAATGTAATAAAAGTTTACGACCTTTGAGAGGAAGTAACCTGGAGAGGTCACCCATAGCCACAAAGACGACTTAAAAGATTGATGGAAGAAGTGAAACCTTTCCATCAAGAAGTTTCCACTTATGAAAATATAATATCTAAATGATTCAACATGAAATATCAGATGCAAAGCTAGGACTTTGAAGTGAAGATTAACTTGTCAGATCCAGATTAAGTCATCGAGTGGTTATGAATAGTGGAACAAATTTTTGAGTATAAGTATATCTCATAGGACGAAATTGTAAAGCTAGTTGTCATTAAGTTAAAGAAGAGTGCATCTCTATGGTTGGAAAATTTAAAGCACCTAAGTTAGTATGAGAGAAAAAATAAAATCACTACATGTTCTAATATGCAAAAGAAAATATAATGCAAATAACTCCCCTCATTAACGATAGTATATGCTCATAAAACTCTATCACAAGCGCCAGAGAGATTCTCCTATGAACGAGGACACAACATAATTTTATGAACTCATGCTAAAGTATGAGTTTATGGAACTAAAGGTGCACATAGTAGCATGATATTTTGGAGAACTGAGGTCATCTACTAGTAATGTGGTACAACTATAAACATATAAGCCTTTACTCGATGTAGAAACCTTAATCTTAGATGTGTAGAGACAATATTGTAACATCATGTCCACATCATCCTTCAAATAGGGTTCAATCATTGGATTCAGTGGCAAAAGTACACCTAGTGGAGCACCGAAGCTCACTTTGCATGAGGAGAAACCAATCCAGAGTGGAGAAAAGGTAAAGCCCACCAACACTCCAAAATCTATCCGAGTTATGAAGTGCTTCAATTGTTATGAAGTTGAGCACATTGTATTAGATTGTCCAAATACAATATTGATATTTTTCACCGAGTAGGGATCCATCATGTCCACATCATCCTTCAAATAGGGTTCAATCATTGGATTCAGTGGCAAAAGTACACCTGGTGGAGCACCGAAGCTCACTTTGCATGAGGAGAAACCAATCCAGAGTGGAGAAAAGGTAAAGCCCACCAACACTCCAAAATCTATCCGAGTTATGAAGTGCTTCAATTGTTATGAAGTTGAGCACATTGTATTAGATTGTCCAAATACAATAATGCTATTTTTCACCGAGTAGGGGTCCATTGAAAAAATAGATAGTAACATGGGAGAGAATGAAGACATCAAAGAGGATTATTATCTTACAATCGACGAGGCACAAATGCTAGTGATTCAAGCCGAACCCATGAGAGAGACTCCAACAAATTTCAACTACGACTTCTATGACAAGCTAACGTGTTCCCCCCCCCCTTTTTTTTTTTTTTTTTTATCTGTGTTTGTGTTGGAAACTCCTATTATGTTGAGACACTAATTTATTACTCTACGGTCACGAATCTTCTAACATTCATCAAACCATAAAATCAATTCAATAACAAAATAATCAAATTATTCTAATTCTCATTTTTCTTAATCAATAATGACTAACATAATTAAACAATCCATCAGGATCTCAACTAAATTAGGGGAAAAAAAAATTCTCCACATAACTTAACTAGAATGAAGTTTAGAGCTATTAAATATTCTTCAAGGCAAGCATACCATAAATTCTATATGCATTATACGGATCTTGGAATAAATGTAACGGTCACCAACTTAACCTGTTTAAGAACTTGAAGAATAGGATATTTTAAGGTAAGTTTTTTCCCCAATCTATTTATTTAAGGTAGATGATACTATAACTCTTATTTACTAAATTATATACTGCATTTATGTTAAAAATATCAAAAGATTTTAAAATCTTTCATACCCCAAATATTTTTCATTATACTAAAATCATTATATATATTTATATAATCTAAGCTCATTAAGAAAAAAAATATTCACTCAAAAGGCAAATGTAACCCCACCAAAAAGTGCCCCCCAATTGTCATGTCCACCCCCCCCCCCCCTCT